AACATACTTGCAATTTTCCCTTCAGTTGGCGCTCGTCTACAATGTTAACGTCAATGGAAAAAGATTTTGACATATGATGAACAACGTTTGGTGCACATTATTTATGTATGTCCACGTTATCAGTTATCGCTATACTTACCATTTATACTTACCGTCTCTCTTCCTCTTACACGTCATCTTCTTTTCCCTTATGCGATTACATTTCGCATCTTGGTCCCATCAATTGTTTTTTTAATATATATTAATAACAATAATAACTTAAATAATTACAGACACTGAGATATATTGTTTTAATATGCGTTTATTTTTTGTATAATGCATTATATACAATATTATCTGAAGCGCACATTATTAATTCGTATTCAATAACTGAATTCTTATCATAAATCTTACGCAAAGTGTTTACCACTTCGGGTTCAATTTATTCGCAATACAGTTTTAATGTAAATAACTTACAAAATATTTAAATTTATCGCTTATACTATTTGTATATTGGCACAAATCGAAATATGTGCTCGACACATTGTGTCGAGTTCAAGCATAAAAAGTATATTCGACGGTTTCATATACATACACTTGCCATATAAAGATAATTTTACATTGTCAACATCACGTATTTCAACAAATTTAATGACAAGATCCAGTATCATTACTTTCTATGACGTAGATGACTGCACCAATCGCTGTATAGCTGTCCGTTTTTTCGATTAACGCCATCCACATAGTATGAAGCAGAACGATGCGGTTGCCTCGGGTATCGTCAATCGCAATTTCTACGTAAGACATTGGTCCCACAGCGATCCCGATCTGCAGAAATTCGTACGCTGTTGGTGTCAACGCTAATAATCTTGTCAAAATTGTACGAGAAGACGCGCTGTAATGAAAAAAAAAACAAACGAATAAGTGATCTGCAGAGAAAATTATTAAAAACCATATATAAAATACTTACGGTTGAACGTATGAATCCATGTCTTCCGAGCGCCTCATGCAGTAACGTCACACGAACCGCTTTCAAATCCTATCCCCTTTTTTATCCATCATTATCAGAGGAATCACAGGGAGAATCTTCAGACCTAAAATTCGGCGGATAATAGACATGCAGGTCGGTAATATACATACGTCTCCGCCAAGGTAAAAACTCAACGATAACACACGTGCCTCGAGTACACGTATGAATTTCAGATCTTATTTCCTTTTTACTAATCGTTTTTACCGAAACGTAACCCTGCTGCTCTATCTGATATTTTGAAAATCAAGTATTAGTGCGTGTTTACACATTGCGGAAACCAAGTTCCCGGTTGCAAATCAAACGCGAGAGCGATGAACAATTACGGTTAGCCATTTTACACAGACTAACTTTCCACAAAAATCCTCGCGGATATTTGTATGACCATTACCGGTCAATGACATCAAAAATGCAAGCGTCAAATTTTTAGACACGTCCGGTGATGACATTAATGTAGTCTGACACCACATTGCAGCGTCTGGAAATTTGCAAGTTTCAATAGGGCTTTGTCCCCGTAATATAAGAAATTTTTTT